GACGCGCGATGTCCTGAGGGCAGCATTCCACCAATGCATTGAACTTTTGACCGGCTCATTCGGGGACATGGCTTCGAACGGTGACAGCTTCTGAGCTGGTGAGACTGCTTCAGGGTGTGAAATGGGAGATTCCGTTCCAAGCCTTGCCCCAGAAGTGGGATGACTTATTGACAGATGCCTGACTTGCCTTGCCAGCAACGGCCGGTGGAGGACAATGAGAACATTGTCGTAGGTTAATTGCAACGACAGGGATTGTAGAGCATGCGCTCTTGCACTCGGCCCACTATCAAGTTCGAAATCTCGGTCAAAGTCCAGAGTCAAGTAGTCGGGAAGATTATTCTGCCACTTCTGGAGATTCTGGGTCGCTTCTTTCACTACTTCAATGTAAACGTCCCCGGTCAATGCCTTAGAGGAACCTGAAGTGCGCGAGCCGAAAATGAACTCCAGAGCCGGAGATGCCATTAGATAGAGGGTGTTTAATTCTCTTTGATAAGGAGAATAGCAGATGGCGTATCCTTGCTCCGAATAGGGTGCAGTAAAATATGGGTTCTCCAGGTTATCTGCTGGCATGCTGAGGTTGCAGTCCTTATCATTAATTCCCAATGGTCGACCGTACGTGATGGACGCGAATCGGTCCCACGTGTATATTGTCCACCATACTCGCTTCCGCTCTTCAATCTCCTCAAGCTTTCCTGTAGGAGATTCTCGATGTAGCCCCGCAGCCTGGGACATCTTGATAGTTGCACCGAGCAGAGAGAACGACAAGTTTGGACGACCATGATAAACATGGTGAGACCCGAATAGAATTAAAATTTGAGCTGCTGTCACCGAGGACTCGTCCATCAACTCCACGACATGCAGTTCGACAAGGCTCATAAGATCGGCACTCAATTTCCGCCACTTACTACTATCGGCTGCATCTGTGACAGTTCTTTGTGATCGATACCATGCGCTCATGCCCAGCATGACTGCCAATAGCAGCAAGAACGACTTTTGCGAAGGATGAGCGAACCCATCTATTATAGACTGTAGTCTTGTACGGAAGGTTGGCTCGTAGATAACGAGAGAAAACCAATGAACTGTGTCAAAGTATTCATCGAGTAAAGAATAAGTGACATCTTGGGAAGGCAAATGCCGTCCCAGAATCGATGCAATAGGACGTCGCTGGCCTCCGGCTACAGCGCGCCGGTCAGCAACGTTTGTGCTAGTCCGGGCTCCTGGAATGGCGGAGGTGGATTGTTCATCGATGACCTGCTTATCCAGCTCGTAGATTTTTTGGGCGATACCCATTGTAGATTCGGCTTCGCCATATTCCATCATGAACTGCGCCTGATGCATCTCCTCAGATAGCTGTGTGTCATCTCTCTCAGTTCTGGACGTAGATGGGCAGTTGCCATCAGTATATTGTGGTTCATTATCAATAATTGCTGCTGATGTCCTAGTCTGCCGCTGGCGTCTTTGCACAGCCGCTTTCGCGCTAATGAGTGTTACTGAATGCAAGGTGCAGTGACCCGGAGATAGAGGTGGAAGTGTTCTTGTCATGCTCATGAGAATGGAGTGACTTACATGCGATTTTTATCCTTAGGCCTCTGGGGAACAGGGAGCTGACGACAGGTTACTTTGGCCCGTGCACATAGGGAGCAAGGTCGGAAAGGGTCGCACTGTAGACGTCAGATAAATGGGTGGCTTTTTTGGTACGTTGGCAAAGGACTACTAAAGCGAAAGAAAGTATCGCTTACCCGAGTTTTATGGCGACGGCATCTTTCACACGCATTACTGACTCGGGTCGGCAAAGGGGAACGGACATGGCTTGTGTTGCTTGACGAATTGGACTCATTCCCAAGTTGGAGATGTTCCCGTTGTCGATTGGACATGGTCGGAGTTTGAACCTGGGAAGAGCAGCCGTTCAACGGGACTGGGAGAAATGTGGACGAAGTACATTATCCCGCAGGAATTGGAAGGGTGTTTCTCCGCATCAAAGCGGCGGCCCGAATCGGAGAAAATCCCAAACGGGTCACTAGAGTTTATGGTTTCGGATAGTGAGTTGATCCGAGATGCCCCCAAACCTACTTATCTTCGAGCAGTTCTGTTTACCACATACATGATAGCTAATGAGAAGAACATGGCTCTGCTCTAAGCGGTCTGAATTTGACGGCAATCAAAGTGTCAGTCTTGACAATGGGGATAAACTTATTTATCGCTTATGGTATTGTATATATTTACTGCTACGCTATCAGCCCTCATCCAGTTACCGAGGCAAGCCGTACTAACCAACTAGTACTTCATAGGCTACTAATTCAACCATCATGGCAAGCTACAGTACTAGTCTGGATACAAAAAGAGCTTAGCTGTTCCTGATCCCTGTAACCAGCTGACTCTCTGAGTCAGGCTTTCCATCTTTGAACTAGTACTGCTAAACTGCTACTAACTATTAAAACCTCTTATCTCACACCATCGTCCCACCTTCCTGATTCCATTCTAGCCAAACCAGCCCTGTCTCTCTGCACATCATGGATGATGAATCACTTTCTTCGAATGACGCGGGTGAAGAGTCCATCCACGAGCCCCCAATCATTTCTTTCGATAATAGCGGTGACGGCCCGCTTCGGGTGCCCGGCTTTGGTGCCATCCCTCTGGATTACGAGCTTCCATCCGACGCGCGCTTTGCTCATGGAATAAAAGAGTGGCGCCAGGCGCCAGCCGTCACAGCACGTGAGCTGACCATGACTGCCGTAATGAATCGTCTGACCGACCGCCCAAACTGGCATGTTGATGTATTTGATGATGTGGTCGTGGCGCGTTGGCGGCAAGACAGCACCGCCTCCATCGCTATGCATCCCCTGCTAAGTGACCGGGCCTGGGACTGGTGCGTGCAGGAACTACGCGACAAAGCCACCGAGTTCCAGCAAAAGGGACATATCCGGGTGTTGGACACTGGATCCTGTGTTTGCAAGTCTGATCATATTCCCGCACTTCAAACAGTGGAGCTGGCCGGCGAGTTCCGACGCGCAGTAAAACCGGTGCTCCGGTCCCTAATGGAATCCGGACTGTTGGACTGGCGGTCAAGGAATAGATTAAGTATCGTCGACCCGACCTTGTTTCCGCTGGTTTATGGGCATAGCTTGGTCTTGACTGATGGTGGTCGGGTGGAAGTAGCGAATGTGCTTGGCGCGTATCAGGGTGCGACATCCCTTGCGCCTACTCACGTCGACAAGAGGACGGATTCGGCAAACATTCAGAGGCAAATTGATGAGAGGCGAAAGCTGTCTTGGTCAATGATTGTCGACCGTGAAACAGCACCTCATTACCGATGGAGCGCGAATTACCAGGCTCTGCCATCTGAAGTGGAGTTTGTAGGGGATGCAGGATCGACGCAGGTTCGCCTCACCTCATATGTCAATAATCTGCACCCTGTGCACCAGGGCCTGTACCGTGCAATTGAAACATTGGTAGGCCGGACAATACCGTTGTGGAACGACTGCTTGGTCCAGGGACAGCGGGGCTGGAGCGATATCTTGAACCAGGGCCAGCTGGGGCCGGTGCCGCTACGGATAATCACCTATGGAATAGAATGGGAGAATGTGATTCCTGAATGCCTCCTTGCCTTCCGAGTCCCAAAATTTATGAGGAGGCAGGAGAGGCGTGAAGCTCGAGAAATGATCTTGAATAGGACGGGATACAACACAGACAATCGCCGTGAAAGGTCTGAATACGAACGAAAATGGTTGGAATATTATTCAGACATGCTAGGTATTGGGGACAAGGAGTTGCCGTCCGAAGAGTCCAACCTCTGGCAACGCGCAAAGGAGTATCTTGAAATCCCCGAGGATGGATCAACCACACCTGTTCCTGTCCCGGATGACTGGCAGCAGTACACCTGGAGGTATATCGAAAGAAAGGCCCGGCGAATACAACGCTTCCGCCACCCGGAGCCAGGAACAGTATTTTCTTACCAAGAGTGGAAAACAGGACGTCACAACGAAAGAGCTGTGGTTAACATGGTCAGCAAGCGGGACGACTGGCATGATATGCCCTACAAACCTGTCACGCCTTCCCACAAACCATATACTATTCGGCTCCAGGAGACCTTCCGTTCGCAAGGACTTCAAGTAATTGTGAACATGGAGAACATTGAGCTTACCCCTGACAACCCGGACTACAAAGGAACAGACTGGCATATGGAAGGCCAACTTAACGAGCACCTCGTAGCTGTTGCCATCTTTGCATACGATATCGAGAATGTTACAGAACCCCAGATCGCCTTCCGTCAGAACACTAAGATGGATCAATGCTTCTATCAATATAGGCATAAAGAGAAAACGAAATGGTGGGATTTCGAATGGCCGATGCACAGATATGGAAAGATTAGCCGCTCCGATTTACCAGAACTGGCGCAAATCCTGGGCTATTCGGATTTTGACCTCCATACTGATAACCACGCAACTAGAACATGGCAGGATAAAGGTGTAGTCTCGGTTGCACAAGGGCGTATGATTACGTTTCCCAACGTCCTAGAGCACCGTGCTGGGGCCTTCTCACTAGCCGATCGGACTCGCCCGGGGCATTATAGATACATCAAGTTGTGCCTGGTTGACCCTCACTATCGCGTCTGCTCCACCCGCAATGTGCTGCCCCAACAGCATCACTGGTGGGCAGAAGCGGTAGGTATGGATCTGAGGGCTGCGGGACTGCCTCAAGAGATAATCGATCAGATTATGCAAGAGACGGGCAGCTGGCCTATGGGGTTACCGGAGGCTCGGCGGCACCGCCACGCTTTCTTGAAAGAGCATCGCTGGAATAATTTGGTCAGGATGGAAAATATGGATTGGCCGTACTTCAATTGTTGAACACGAATTGGGAAGAAGTTATGGAAGCCTTTGCCATGCGTACCGCAAAGTAGAAACTATCCAGGTGTCATGAAGCAAGGGTACTCGCATTATTTACATGAATGCAATGGACTTTACTTTTCCGGAATCGACTTGCAAAAATACACTTCCTGGTGAGCTTCTATGACGTCTGAAGCTGAGAAAGCAGACACATAGTGTCATGCGACGAGAGAACTATCTTTACAAAACTAGCTATCTAATGCCCCGAGCAGAGAAACATGGTGCCTGGCCCTAGCAAACAGCCTCCGAAATTTGAAGTCATTCTGAGTCAAAGGCGAACTCAATGTTACTACACGTATCATCTGGCACGGACTCTGGACTGGCGTCATCACTCTCAGAAGAACTTTCTTCAATAACCCCCGTCAAACTAGTGATGGAAGTTTCAAGAGCCCTCATTATATTTATGTGATTGATGTCGGAAATGTGTCCGGTAGCAATGCGATCGTTGAATGTCTTAGGGAAATTATCAATGATCTCCTTGAGCCTTTTCGCATCTTTGTCACTGAGTTTTTTAGCATCAACGTCGTCGTCGATCCCTTCTAAGGTAGCATCCCAATCGAATGAAGACCCACCCCCGGTGACGACATAACGACCATATGCCTCGTCGCCAAGGAGGTCTCTGAGCACCTTAATTTCGACTTCAAAGACATCCTCATAGCGCATGTCCTTGACTTCCTGGGCCCATTCTACCGCTTGTTTCACATCATCGTTCTTCACCTTTCCTGTCTTGATAGCTTTGTTTGCGGAGTGAAGAACAGTCTCAAAGACGCGGGGAAAATCTTTTGCGTTGGCTTTGATGGAGGGGAGCAGTTTTTCAAGGTCGTACCGCGCAGAGGTGGGCATTTTAATCGACAACCTTTTAGCAGCCCCAACACCCGGTGTCTTGGTACGATCGGCCTTAGTCGGCAGGTAGACCTTATTCCATCTGTCTTCTATGAGGAAACTTGCGAACTGGTCAAAGAAACACATTTTTTTGTACTCAGTGGCACAGCCAGGGGCAATGGTCTTTTCGACGCCCGCGTCCCATTCCATCTTGTACACGTAGTAATAGTGCAGAAGCTCGTAGGGAGCAGCATCGTTGTTGGCTAGTACGTGGGTGGACAAGACCGAGCACCAGAGGAGGAATAGATTGAATAACTTCATTCTGTATGGCGCAAGTGCTGGGCATGGGTTGACGATAGAAATATACCCAGAATAAAGAAAATAATTAACGAAGGCGAGATAAAGAGTGACTATCAAGGAAGCAAGAGTGAGCGAGAACGATAGAGAGTGACTTCACACAAAACGACATGGACAAAGCGAAGGAAAGGGAGCCGATTTTCTAGAGAATGGAGAATTGGGAGAAAATGAGATCGATTGAGATTGAGAAATACGCTGGCAGACAGATTCGCACGGGGGGATGCCTACCCCCCTGACAGGCTATCACTGCACCATGCTCAGATCCCCCGTTCATCTATCATATCGCTTTCTAATTTCCAGATAAGTGTCACTCGTCTTAGCTTATCAGGGGTGTTCATCCAACGGATAGATCGGAAGTTGACATGCTCACCCTTGTCGCATCCTCTATCTCGGAGATTTGGACATGAATCCTACATTCCAATTTCGAGTCACACAAAGTCTCTCCCTGTGTCCGACAACAGACCGGGTAATCGGCGTGTCCGTTGAGGGGAAGTGAGACATCTCATTGTAGGCGAGATTGCATGCATACATAGTCGAGTACTTAGCTTCTACTAGAACGAGTCGTTGATCTTGGCAGGCTAGAGCTTGGTAGTGTTTAGTTGGAGCTTGATTCTAACCTTGTTGGTTGGACCCTTATTGAGGCTAGTAGGGCTAGTAGGTAGACTATTTTAACCCCGGAAACTGGCCACCGAACCACAATTCGGAGGTCCGTCGGGGTTAGCGCTTAGTCTGTTCTCTTCCTCGAACCAGCCCTGGGCCAAGGGTCCCAGGGGTTTCGGAGGACGATGCCGGCTAAAATCCTTTTGTTATCTTTGCAGCGGAAATGGACCCCTAGACTTTGGATGGAGGAGCAGCCGGGGTCGTATCATGCCCACACGGGTGTCTCGGAGTAATTTCCGTGGCGGGGAGATAGGGAAGAAGGATTTAGATCCCGGTTTAGTGCGTCGTGTGGTCAGGACTGAAGTGAACATGTTCATGGATGCTTGCTTGGCAAATTAGTAACGGGGTTAACAGTTTGCTCGTACTAATGGTTTGTATCGGGCCAAATTTATCAGTGGTACATTTGGGAAGGCTGAGATGCTTACAGCGTGGATTATCTCGAATTAATTAATGGATGGTTCTCTAAGGCCCTGGTTATCCAAAGAGGGGAAGTACAGGACTAGCTAGCGCGGAATTGAAGTAGGGTAACAATGTAGGTATGAACATGTGAAACCAATCCCCCAGCACCATTGGGCGCTCCAACAGTCATTTATCTGACCCATATCTTACTTACTAGTGGCAGCAGCCGCGGTAGCAGAAGCACAGTAGCTGCTCTCGAAAGCCAGAACAGTGGTAGCCACCTCGGTACCACAGGCAGCATTCGAGCAATCCCGAATACCGTAGTAGAAGTTGATGTTCTCGCATAAACAGGCAGGGTCAGGGCTACTACATCCGAGGGAGGAGTATTTGGCCAGCATATTGTTAAAGCAGGTCTGACCGCAGGTGGGGAGGTCAGAGATTGCGGTGGGACTTGCTGTAGGTGTCGACGAGGAGGTGGTGGTACTAGTCACCGGATAGGTGGTTTCGGCCGCAATGGCGGAGGTGCAGTATCCGCTCTCGAAAGCCAAAACTGTGCTTGCCACTGCAGTCCCGCAAGCAGCATTGGCGCAGTCACGGATTCCGTAGTAGAAATTGATGTTTCGGCAGAGGCAGGATGGATCGGATGTCTCGCAGCCGAGGCTACCATATTTGGCTAGCATGTTGTTGAAGCAGGTTTGCTGCACGAAAATTGACTTAGCAGGTAGACTGTGACGGAGGGTAGGGGTAGGGGCTTACACCGCACGTAGGGAGCTGGGAAATTCCGGTGATGGTGGCCGTTGCGGAAGTCGAAGTGGATGCGGTTGAGCCAGCAGAAGTTGTGAGAACAATGGTCGTCTCCGGAGCAGTGCTACTTGGGGATGATGTGGATGAGGTGGCGCTGGAGGAAGACGCGGAGGCTGTGGATGTGGACGAGGCCACAGCAGTAGCCTTGGTTCCATCGAACGCCGTTGCGAACACGAGGGCCCCATCATCCCCGGCGATGGTGGGAATGACAGTGACCGATCCCGCGGAATCGTAGCTGGTGATGTCCATCAACACATCGGGCCAGATGCTAGAAGTACAGACGGCGCCTAATCCAGGTCGCGTCGAATTCTGGTAGTTTGGCATGTACACTCCATAGTTGCTTTTGGTAAATGTCCAGTCAGTCTTTCTGGGGCTTAATAGAGAGTCGAGGCAAGAGACAAATAGCATACCTTGGGCAACAGACGATGTACGTGTCGGTAACATTGTACGTTTCCCAGTCTTTGGGGCACACAAGCTGCTTGTAGGGGGGCAGGATACTAGTGGCTACCGCACTATAGTAGAATTGGCTGGGGTAGCAGGATGAAAGGGTCATAGTGGAAACCGGATTGACAATGTTCTGCCAGAGCTCGGTCGACCATGCTGGGATCTCGGTCATTCCACCAGCACATCCTGGTGGTTGGGTAAACACAGTGGTGAGCACCAAAGAGTCACTCGAAGTGGTGATACTGGGCGAGGCAGTAGTGAGCGAGGGGGTTGCCGAAGTTGGCGGACTCGATGAAGATGAGGTTGGGTTGGCCGTCGACGAGAGCGTACTAGTGGGTGTAACACCAGAGGTTGTGAGACCAATTGTCTCCAGCTGGCCGAAGACTGGATTCAAGATCCATGAAGTGACAAGGAAAAGTCGAAGGACAAGATACATCTTGGGTGATTGCTTTGCGTAGCGAACAACGAGAGAAACAAGATGGGAGATGGGAGACAGAAGAGAAACAATGAGCGTACAGTGAGGAAACAGGAGTTTCAAATCGCATCGAATAAATACATTAGGCAGATGAAGAGCAATACGGGGGAGAGGGGTGTTTGGGGGCTAGCAAAGATCCCTGTCAGGCACACAGTACAATTACTATAGACTGGCTCGAAGGGCTCAACATAAGTTGAGTCTTATCGCAAGACGGTGGAGCCTGTTCAGATACGCCTCTTGGAGTGCACCTAGCTCGCATTAGCTCGACGTGTCGAATTAAACTAAACCGAGCCATTTGTCTTACTTCCCTCAAAGCGCAATTAGCAGAAGGCATCTCGTAAGGGAATACTTCGCCGTCGGATAGATCGGAATCAGGGGGCTTCATCCAGCCTGGGAAATTTCTGGCTCGAGCCGGGGTTATATATGTTATATGCCCTGGGCACTCGACCGTCGGCTGAAAGCACCTTCATCACTCATTTCTCTCCTTTGGCTCTTCAGCAAGTCACTCTTTTGTTCATTTAACCAGTCATTCTTTTATTCGCTCCTTAAATGTTGACTCAGGCCACCTGTGCCAAGTACGTTGCCTAAGCCTGACTGCTTAGCCTACAAACGTTCTCATTTCGTTTAGCACTCCAAGCATGCCCCTGCCAAATAATAATGGCTGCAATGTGGAGGACTTTCTTTGTGCTTTTGATCTTTGCTTTCTGTCTAAATTTAACTGGGGCTTCCCCAATCGCCGACTCAACTTTCCATCTGTGGCATCAGCGGAGAGCCCTTGCCAATCCACCGAGGCCGCGTTCCCTCAATACCTCGATCACTGAGCTTCAACAGGCTCAGAAGCTCGTGGAGGCTGCTGTGGCACAACAATCCGAATACAATGCCTGGCGAGTGGCGAATCCTAAGCGCAACACATATCAATCGCGCCACTCCAATGCTTCGCACTCCTCGACCCAGTACGAATTGTCTGCACAGCCGGTGGCGCCCACGTTGGACTCTCGTCTCAGAGCTGCAGCCGCACTCCTTGCTGAGCGCCACGCAGCACAGCAGCTAAGGAATGGCACTCTTCACAAATCCTACAGTCAGTTCATCAAGGCGCGCAGGCCCTTGACATCGTCGAAACAGGACAGTACAGACTCATCGTCGGACTACTGGCCGGCCCAGGTCGACCACGGTCGCCCGCCCATGGGGTGGGATTCGTCCTACCCCGTCTATCGAGACGTTACCGATCCCAAGTTTGGAGCCAAGGGCGACGGGGTGACGGATGACACCGATGCTATTAATGCCGCAATCTCCTACGGAGGAAGTTGCCAGGAAAACTGCGAATCTTCCTCGACCAAGGGTACATTCATCTATTTCCCCCCAGGCACATACCTCATCTCCTCGCCCCTCAATGCCTCTTACTACTCTCAGTTGGTGGGTAATGCAAATGACCTTCCCGTGATCAAAACGTCTCCATCGTTCATTGGCCTGGGGGCAATTCAGAGTGATGTTTATATCCCGAACGACAATGGAAATGAGTGGTACATTGAAGTAAGCCGACTCCTGTGATATGGTACCTTCGGGAAACCAAGCTAAGGTCTTATCTTCAGCAATCCAATTTCTATCGTCAAGTCCGGAACTTCATCATTCGATATCGAGGAGACCATCACCGCGAATGCTGCCGGACTGCATTGGCAGGTTGCGCAAGCTACCTCCCTAACCAACGTGTACATAACTGCCAGCTCAAGTGCCGGAACCACCCAGATGGGCATTTACACCGAGAATGGTAGCGGGGGCTTCATGTCGGGCTGCACACTCTCAGGTGGATCGTATGGCATTTATGGTGGTAACCAGCAGTACACGGTCCGCGATTTCGAGATCTTCGGTCAGACTAATGCGAGCATTGGTTTGATTTGGGATTGGGGTTGGACCTGGTCCGGATTGCATCTCTCCAGTTCACCCATAGGAATAAGCCTGCTCAATCCCCAGGATCCTTCTGGTCAGCCATCTGGATCTACGTACATCCTTGATAGCATGTTCGATGAAACTCCCATTGCTATCCAGGCAAGCTTCGAGCAGTCAAGCATTCTGGAATCCAGCATTATCACGCTGGACAACATCGGGGTCAACGCTGTCGACACAATGGTCTCCTTCACTGATGGCACGAGCCTCGATCTTCCCAATGGTGATGTGGACTTCGTGGTCATCGGGAACACCCAACAAGAATCAGACAACACTTTTGGTTATTACGAAGTGAATGTGCAGCAACCTCCACCGCCTCTTCTGGATGCTGGCCAGGACCAAATCATTTACCGAGACTCATATTTTTACAAAGACCGCCTGCAGTATGAGACCCTCTCTCTGGACAGCATCGTCAGCGTTAAAGATCATGGGGCGGCGGGCGATGGAGCTACAGATGACACAGCGGCCATTGTCGCGGCCCTCGCCCTGGCAACCGCCGACAATTTGATTTATTTCCCTCCTGGCTCCTACATCGTCACCTCTACCATAGTAATTCCAGCACATGCTCGTATTACTGGACAAGTATGGTCACAGCTTGTGGCATCGGGTGACTATTTCGCCGACATGACCTCCCCCAAGGTCATGATCCAAGTGGGCAACCCCGGTGATGTGGGAACGGTCGAAATCAGTGATATGCTCTTTACCTCTATTGGAGAGCTACCAGGATTGGTGATGGTGGAGTGGAACGTTCAGGCTGAGATACAGGGCTCAGTGGGTATTTGGGACTCGCACTTTCGGGTGGGAGGCGCGTATGGCAGCAAACTGCAGCTGGACGAGTGTCCTACCGGCGACTCGATTGCATCAGGTTGTGTGGCCGCTTCTTTAATGCTACACATCGCCCCAGAAGCAAATGGGTACTTCGAAAACATGTGGCTATGGGTGGCTGATCACGATATTGACGATCCAGCCAACACACAGATCACCGTCGGGGTTGCTCGAGGGCTTCTGGTTGAGTCAACCTCAGGGCCAACCTGGATGTACGGCACTGCCTCTGAGCATTCAATCCTTTATCAATACAATTTCGTCAACTCTACCAACACCCTGGCTGGCATGATACAGACCGAATCTCCATACTATCAGTTTACCGATGCCACTGAGTCCCCCGGGCCCTTCAACGCGTCGATGGGCCTCTTCACGAACGACCCTCCCTTTCCGGACACCACCTGCAATGCGTCGCCGGAGCTCTGCAATTTCGCATGGGCGGTGACCATGAAAGATAACACCAACCTAACCGTTGCGGGAGCGGGCCTCTACTCCTGGTACGACAATTACGTCGAGACCTGTGTCGACACCCAAAATTGCCAGCAGCGGATGGTCCAAGATCAGGGCGATAACTATGGTCTCTACGTGTGGAATCTTATCACAATCGGTTCCGTGGAAATGATTAGCAATGACAACGATATCATCTACGCGGCGAACAACACGCAGGCTATCGGACATCCCTACTGGAGCGCTCTCGCAGCTTATCTGGACGACTACGAGCAGCCAATTTGGTCGTGCACAGATGATTCCACCGACCCGGCCTGTCAGTCAACCTGGAAGTGCGACTTGACCCAGCAGTATGCAACGGTCGACGATCTCAACGGGGCTCTGAGCAGCTACCCAGATCAATGCATGCCGTACTACGCAATGAACACTCTCTACACCACTCTGAATGCCTCTCTCGCCAATTATACTGAAACCAACAAGGACTATGACAAGTACTTCGGATACTACAAACAATATGTTCGCGAGATGGTCCCTGACGCCATCAACGCCTTCATGGCCGCCTCGACGCCCAGCCAACCCGAAGGCGGAGCGGGTAACAAGTATTTCGATTGCACCTGCGAGGGCTATGGACCGACCTCAACGCAGCAGTGTCCGTTCACCTACACCCAGTTGATGGGCGCCACCAGATATACTATGACATACACTCTCAAGGACGCCGATGGCTTCTACAGCGAGCTCGAAAGCACCTACGGGATCAATCGCACCTGGGTGACCTTCGGCGACGAAGGGGGCCCTACACACGAGGTTGGCCACTGTATTCCGGGGGCTTGCTCGGGAGGCACCGATTATCGGTATGTTAATATCCCCCAAGCGGTCAAGTCCAACGAAATCAACGTTGGTAACCCCAAGGACGTCATCACTGCGGCGCTGCCTTCTGTCGGCACCCTGCAGAACAACCTCCTTGCGCGCGAGATGGATATCAATCTTGGTGCCTGGGGCGGCGGTATGCAGGACCTGCTTGAAACGTTCTCAATGCCAGTCCTCATGTTGCAGCAAGCTATCGCCTCCATGGCGAATGTGAAGGCCATTGGCGAAAAGCAGGCAAAGGAGGATAAAATCAAGCTCGTCCTGGAGATTCTGGGTATTGCCTTTGCTTTCGTTCCCTTCCTGGATGATATTACCCCGGAGCTGGATGTGCTGGACGGAGTCTTCGAGACCGTTGCTGCTACTGGTAACGTAGCCCTTGGCATCCAAAGCATCGTCTCAGACCCCAGCTCCGCCCCTATGGTGCTTCTGGATCTCATCGCTGGTGGGGGACTGCGCGATGAAGACGACTACTCTGAGGCCGCCGCTGCCCGTCGCGCGGTGACTGAGGATGACTTGGAAAAGATTGGCAAGGATTACAAGGCAGAACAGGACAAGTTCGATGATATCACGAAGGCAAAATGCCGTGTTTAGGTGGATGGGCGGCTATACTGTAGTTGAAACAGAAGTCTACGGATAATTATCAGTTTCGCGAGTATAGCTATCTGGTGGCATACTGTCATCTACAAGGGTTGTAGCGAGCCTAAGTTAATGGTTCCATTATTTGCGTTTATTGTTGTATGCGTTGTCGAGGAGTTGCATGACAACGGTTGTGATCATAAACTGTGGAATTTACAAGTGTCTCATCTATCCGAATTATAATGTGAAGCTCAGATAACAGACTTATTCTTCAAAGTACTATATCACAATATAATGCCTGGGATTATCCTTGTGGTCCGATTTCCGACCTTGGGTGCATCGGCATGAAATATAAATTACGTAATATCTCGATTGTCATATAAATTCAGTTCATGCATTTATTTTTCTTATCTTTCCTTTTCTCTGTTTTTTCTTTCCTCTTCCACAATGAATAGTAGACAGTTAGTAAATAGACGGATAAAGGTAGGGAGTGACCTACGACCTGGAAATTTAGGGCCCAAAGTGGGAGACAAAGGCGTGGCTAGCCCGCCAAATATATTTTTCGACCTACTGATTACTAGTCGCAGCATAACATTCCTAGTAGAAACTTGTACAGTACCACACCCGGAGTACACCCGACCGTGGACGTTACGTATGTTGGCCTGTTTCTATCGTTGGGTCTTGTCACTTGTTCTTCAGGTTGATCAACCCCGCACTTTGTTCAATTCACAGGGGTCAATCAAGGAAGAGCAAGTCATGCTGCCGCGCGTATCTCAGCGGAACTGTGCCGATCGTCCGAGGCGTCGGAGAAATATCCTAGTTAATGCGACGAGGTTCGATATCCGGGGTCTGGGGTGAAATGATCTGGGGAAACAGGAAAATGCGGGGTGCAGGTTTATCATTCCATATGTTGAGCTGCGAGAACCTTTCATCTTCCCGGAGAGCTGGAGAAGCCTCTACTCTTGATGCAGACTAATTTCCAAGCGCGCGGTTTACAGCGCATTGGCGACCATGAAGAAACCTCAGGGCCAAGTGCTCTGTATATTGATGACCATAACATGCGGCATCTCATACCTTCTCTATGGCTATGACCAGGGGTTCATGTCAGGCGTGCTGTACGCTGTCACCACCTACCTCGAGTTATGGTTCTGACTGAGGTGCAGACTCGCCGAGGATTACCTTCAGACAATGGATCGGCCATCAACCTTTATGCAAGGACTACTGTCCAGTCTCCACACGCTGGGGTGCTTTTTCGGTTGCGTCGGCAGTATATCGTTCAGCGAGAAGATTGGTCGCAAGAAGCCTATCTTAATCGGCACAGTCCTGATCTCGATCGGCGCAGTCATTCAAACAGCCGCATACTCACCAGCTCAATTCATTGTCGGGCGGATCGTGTCTGGAATGGGAACCGGACTAAACACGTCTGTGATCCCAGTATGGCAGGCCGAGACCCTTCCAGCTAGAAAGCGAGAGCGATTCGGAGCCATCCAGTATGTGTTGGTTTGCACAGGCACCACCATCAGTTACTGGATGGCGTATGCTCTGTCCTATTCCGCAAATAGTGTTTTTCAATGGCGTTTCCTGGTCGCAGCGCAGCTTGTGTTTGCGGTGCTGATTATGTGCCTTGGTAAGTAACTCATGTATTTTTTACTGATCATACCTGGTACACAGCTTATAGTGTGTAGTTCCATTGATGCCGGAGTCCCCTAGATGGCACTTCGTCCACGGCTACCGAGACAAAGCCTTGTGTACACTATGAAAATGCATGGGACATCGGATGAACAGCAAAGCGAAGTCCAAGCAGAGGTCCATTTGATCCAGCAAGCTGTGGAGCTTGAAGCCAGACATGGAGCGACTAAATGGGTTGATCTATTCAAGAATGAGCCACGCACACAAAATTTCCGACGTCTCATGCTAGGATGGTGGTAAGTCTCGCCTATCAGTCACGGCGGGATGTTTCGGCTGATTAGATGCATCTTATGCAGGCTGATGTTTATGGTGATGTGGTCCGGCGTCTGCAGTATCGGCTATTACATTTCATACCTCTTCGAAGTCTCCGTCGGTCTCAGTCACAACTTGTCCCTGCTCCTTTCTGGGTTCAACGGTCTCTGGTATCTGTTATCAGCTTTCATCCCATTCTTTGTGATCAATCATCTCGGCAAGCGGCGGTGTATGATGATTAGCGCTGCTGGCATGGGCTGCTGTTTCCTGACAATGTCACTGACGATCCGGTCGGGCACGTTTGCAGCCTCGATTGTCTGCATTGTTGCCTTCTTCCTGTACTACACCTTCTTCGCACTGGGATACCTGGCGATACCCTGGTTGTACAATGCCGAGATCATGCCTCTTCATCTGCGATCCCAGGGGACAGCTCTGACGACCTCCTCGAATTGGATTTGGAACTTCGCCACCGTCATGATGACTCCCTCGCTGATGAGCCAGCAGGGCTGGAAGGGGTACCTGGTATTTACGGTGTTTAATTTCTGCTTTGTGCCGGTGATATACCTGCTATATCCGGAGACTACCGGCCGACGGCTCGAGGAGATCGACGCGATATTCTACGGGACTTCGGTCTTGGTGGCCCGAACGGAGTGGGCCGACAAAGGCCGGTTTGAAGCCAACCCGCTCGGAGGAGTCATCCAGGGGCTAGAACCTTCGCAGAAGGAAACACAACACCACGTGGAGTACGTCAGCTCAAACTCGGAGAATTGCTAGCAGGTGGAACAATGTCTTTGAGTCACCATGTTGGTTTGGGCATCTCTCAACTGTTATGGAGGGTTGTGTATTTTATCTGCTTATCGGCCGGGAGCAGAGGAAACGAATTACCCAGATGCAGCGTCATTATTCCGATGTATACTCCGTCCTGTGTAAAGTCCTGTTAACTCCGTGACTTAAAATCCGAAATATAGGCCCCATAACTTGATTGATTGCTAATTCAGGGTAAAACCAGATCCACCGGATTGGTTGTCAGCGTTTTGTCTGGTGAACGATCGTTAGACCCACAGTCGGCGAAACGGGATTTCCAACGCCGACTGCTGGAAATAGATGATAACTAAGACTCATAAGCCTTTCACACTTTGAGCCCCTCGGGGCAACCGAAGGAACCAGCCAGTAGGGAGACACTTTGAGATGTGCCTGACTATGGCATTCGCTGGATCCGTGTCGGTTCGCCCAAAGCCGAATGCCGATGGGTCCCCCCGGCGGCTAAGCTTGCGCCCGCAATTCGAACATAAATTTTCTTATGCTCCATCTTCCACTGCGGGAGCCAATGATCTGGTATCACTGCCTGTTGCTTCTCGTCTCGGAGGCGACCACTTCCGGTTGTATCAAAGTCTGTCACCGACTTCGCCGTGGGTGTGGACCTCGTAGGGATTCGACAGGCTCCACTCACCACGTTGGAGAACAAGATATCAAGGGGCGTGGTCGCTGCTGTGCGTAGATGAACGGTTTTTGGAAGCATGTACTATTAATCTTCACTACAACTATATACGCCCATTACTGTGTCTTATAATCACCTTTTTACATCTTCATTATATTTCTATAGTTATTCTTTTTCCGCTGAAAGGCGTGTAATCTTCTAATCATGGATCCATCCCACCGGGATGGTGCAGATGAGAATGACCTCAGTCTGCAACTAACCAAGACCCAAACCGCTTCCAGTGTGGTCACCAACGAGCAACGTCGTGCTCTCACCAACATCGCTTCCGAATTACACAATGAGTCGCTGGCCGCTGTTATCACCAACGAGAAGGCTCTAGATCCAAGCCACCCCCAGTTCGATCCGTACCAATGGGCCAAGGTCACTATCCGGGCCTTGGACGCCGAAGATATCGATGCTCGTCAACAAGGTATCCTGTTCGAGGATCTGTCGGTCCATGGATCTGGCTCTTCGCTTCACCTGCAGCAGACGGTGCTGTCCACCCTCATGAGCCCCTTCAAACTGGCTACTTCGGCATTCCGCAGCAAGAAAAGCACACGTCGCACGATTCTACACAGTCATGATGGTCTTTTGGAAAGTGGAGAACTGTTACTTGTGTTGGGTAGACCTGGAAGTGGTTGCTCTACCTTTCTCAAAACTATCAGTGGACACCTTCATGGACTGGATTTGGACCCTCAAAGCAATGTGCAGTATAAAGGTATCGCATTCAACCAGATGATCAAGGAATACCGCGGTGAAGTTCTGTACAATCAAGAAGTCGACAAGCACTTCCCTCATCTGACAGTTGGAGAGACCCTCGAGTTCGCTGCTCACGCACGAGCACCTCACAACCGGATCGGTGGTATGAGTCGGGCAGAGTATGTCAAGACGAGGGTTCAGGTGATCATGGCATTCTTCGGACTCTCGCATACATACAACACGAAAGTGGGTAATGATTTCATCCGTGGTGTCAGTGGTGGTGAACGGAAGCGAGTCAGGTAAGTCGTCCAAAGATCGCACGATTCTATAGCTTACTAAACTATTTAGTATTGCCGAGATGGCTCTATCGAATGCTCCTATCGGTGCCTGGGATAACAGCACGCGCGGTCTTGACGCTGCCATGGCCCTCGAGTTTGTCCAAGCCCTTCGCCTCTCCTCCGATCTCGTCGGGTCCTGCCATGCTGTTGCCGCGTACCAGACATCCGAGTCTATGTACCAGCTGTTCGACCAGGTGGTGGTGCTGTATGAAGGTAGACAGATCTACTACGGTCCGCAGCAAGAGGCAGCTCAATACTTCGAAGAAATGGGCTGGGAGCGACCACTGAAACAGATTACCCCTGACTTCTTGACGTCCATCACCAACCCCCGTGAGAGAATTGCTCGCAAAGACATGGCAGACAGAGTTCCCCGGACACCAGCCGAATTTGAAGCTTACTGGAAGAAGAGCCCGCAATACCAAGCTCTCAAAGCCAAGATGCACAGCTATAAGGCGAGATATGCGCCCGGAGTCGAGCTCGAGAAGCGATTTGGCGAAAGCAAGCAGGCGCAGCAAGCGAAACACGTTCGTCCGAAGAGTCCTTATCTCCTCTCGATTCCCATGCAGATCCGGATTTGCCTCCGACGAGCATATCAAAGAACACGAAATGACCTTCCAACTACCTTGATTACCGTTTTTGTTCAAATCGCACTCTCGTTGATTATCGGTTCGATTTTCTACAACACACCCGCTGCAACCGCTGGCTTCTTCCAAAGGGGAGCTACCCTCTACTTTTCGGTCCTGATGAACGCTTTGATTACTATCAACGAGATCATGTCCCTTTACGCCCAACGTCCTGTCGTCGAAAAGCAGGCCGGGTATGCATTTGTGCATCCGTTTGCTGAAGCTCTTGCATCAATCATCCTCGATTTTCCGATCAAGCTCTTCAGATGTATCTGCTTCAGTATTATTCTCTACTTTATGGCGAACCTACGTCGTGAACCTTCTCAATTCTTCATTTACATCTTGTTTTTGATTACTACGATTGTCACGATGTCTGGTGTCTTCCGAAGCCTAGGTTCTGCCACCAAGAGTATTGGACAAGCTATGGCGCTGGCAGGTATCTGCGTCATCTGCATGGTTGTGTACACAGGCTTTACCCTGCCTCAACCATACATGCATCCGTGGTTCAGCTGGATCAGATGGATCAACCCTATCTTCTACTCCTTCGAAGGTCTGGTGGCGAACGAATTCCATGGACGGAATTTCGAGTGCTCAGAGTTCATCCCCAACTATCCCAGTCTTAGTGGAGACTCCTTCATCTGCTCTGCGGTTGGCGCTGTCGCCGGAGCACGCACCGTCTCCGGGGACCAGTTCATTTCCTTGAACTATGAATACTCCTATTCTCACATCTGGCGGAATTACGGAATTTTGATTGCATTCTTGGTATTCTTCAATGCCCTTTACCTCACCATTACCGAGCTCTCTCCCGGTGCGAAGCCCACGGCCGAGGCATTGGTTTTCCGTCCCGGACATGTGCCCGCCAATCTTCAGAATGATGAAGAAACTGGAGTGGATTCCGTGCAAGCCGTCACTGAAGGCGCAGGAGAGTCTGATCTCGGATCTGCTGAAATTCCGGAACAAAAGGAGATTTTCACCTGGAAAAACCTGTCGTACGATATCCCAGTGAAGGAGGGAACACGGAGGCTTCTTGATGAAGTTAGTGGATTTGTCAAGCCGGGAACTTTGACGGCTCTTATGGTATGTCTCGCTCTCCATACCTGTAAGGATCTATACTAATTGTTTAATAGGGTGTCAGTGGTGCTGGTATGTCGGCCTTCATTGACGGAATCTATGATATAAAAACTAATTGGTTCTAGGTAAAACTACTCTACTCGACGTCTTGGCGCAGAGAGCTTCACTCGGAGTCATCACCGGTGAGCTCTTTGTTAATGGCAAAGACCTGAACGCAAGTTTCCCGCGCAAGGTTGGTTACGTTCAGCAACAAGATATGCACTTGGCCCAATCGACAGTCCGTGAAGCACTTCGCTTCAGTGCGGTTCTGCGCCAGCCAAAGACTGTTTCCCTCCAGGAGAAATACGCCTACGTGGAAGAAGTGATCAAGATGTTGGATATGGAAGACTTTGCCGAAGCTGTGGTCGGAAACCCCGGCAATGGTCTCAACGTGTGCCAGAGAAAGCTTCTCAGTATCGGTGTCGAGTTGGCAGCAAAGCCGGAGTTGTTAATCTTCCTGGATGAGCCTACTTCTGGTCTCGACTCCCAGAGTGCCTGGGCTATTTGTACCTTCATGAGGAAGCTTGCGCACCACGGACAGGCTGTGTTGGCTACGATTCATCAACCGAGTGCTCTGCTCTTTGAGCACTTTGACCGACTGCTGTTCCTTGCCAAGGGTGGAAAGACGGTGTACTTTGGCGATATTGGCCAGCAGTCTCAGACGTTGTTGAATTACTTCCAGAGCAATGGCGCCCGTCGTTGCGAAGCGACTGAAAACGTGAGTCGCACCATTCACCCGCCATTTGATTCATGCATACTGACCTTATTAGCCCGCTGAATACATGCTGGACATCATCGGCGCGGGTGCTTCTGGAAAGTCAACCATCGACTGGGTCCAGACCTGGAATGACAGTCCCGAGCGCAAGGAACTCCATGCTGAACTGGACCGCATCTGCCAAAACGGCGCATCTTTGCAGCCCCGCGACGAAACCATCGCCGAGTTTGCTATGCCTCTGTCTAGTCAGTTCTACTACGTGACACAACGTGTGTTCCAGCAGTACTACCGCCAACCCGAATACGTCCTGGCCAAATTCGTTCTCGGAATCGTGTCCGGTCTCTTCATCGGCTTTTCCTTCTGGCAGTCCGACAACTCCCAGCAAGGGTTCCAGAATGTTCTTTTCAGTTTGTTCCTGCTGTGTACCATCTTTACCACCTTGGTCAACCAGTGAGTGCTGCCTTCATCCCTACGACGGACTTTACACTAACTCCTCCAGAATCATGCCCCACTTCGTCGCGAACCGCGCCCTCTACGAAGTCCGCGAAAGACCATCAAAGGTGTACTCCTGGAAGATCTTCATCATCGCTCAATTCCTCGCCGAAATCCCATGGCACATCGTTCTCGCCGTATGGGCCTGGGCGTCCTTCTACTTTGCCGTCTTCGGCGCCGACCAATCCTCTGACCGCATGGGCCTGATCCTGCTCTTCGTCATCCAATTCTACATATTCGCCTCCAGTTTCGCCCAGTTCATCATCAGCGCCCTCCCCGACCCGGCACTGGGTGGTATGCTCGCCGTCTTCATGTTCGGTCTCTCCCTTATCTTCAACGGTGTCATGCAGCCCCCGTCTGCTTTGCCCGGCTTCTGGATCTTCATGTGGCGCGTCTCTCCCCTGTCGTACTACATTGCCGGAATCTCCAGTACTGCTCTGCACGGCCGTCCGATTGTCTGCTCGGATAGTGAGCTCAGCGTGTTCAATCCCCCGTCTGGTCAGACCTGCGGTGAATATCTCGCTGATTACCTGACCACTGCCTCGGGCAGATTATATAATGAGAATGCGACTGAGAGCTGTGAGTACTGCGCGCTCCGCTCGGCTGATCAGTATCTGGCCGGTCGGGAGATTAGCTGGGATGATCGCTGGAGAGATTATGGTATTTTCTGGGCTTACTTTGTGTTCAATATCTGTGCGGCCATTGTGTTTTATTATGTCTTCCGTGTGAGGCCGTACAACAAGAAGACCAAGGCCAAGAGAGCGTGAGATGTTGGTGGTGGGTATAATGTGTGATGTTTCGTATAGCATATAGATGTGTTAGATAGACTAGACTTGCATAGCATTGATTATTCTCCTTAAACTGTCATTCTGCTGCCCTTGAGTGCTTGTAGTGAACAGGTCTTATTACTAGATAGGTGTAAATAGAAGTAATAGTGAAGTGCATAACTATCATACTAGCAGTGAATTCAGCGGAGGTCTACCACCCGCCGTGCCCTATATTCTACTCTACTAGAAGCTCTCATCGCCGTGGCGATGTGAATCTTCGAACAGAATGATACGATGCTGACTCACAATTAACACGTCCTTCAACCTGATCAAGGCATATTCAATAATTGCAGTGCACGTCGTTGCCTAGATGTAATGTCGCTGGCAAAGTCACCGTGTTATGATTCACCTTGCCTTCTCAGTATCTCATCATAAAAAGACTCTCTGGCCTCTCTTCCTCCTCTTCTATCGTCTTATTGTCTATCCAGGCATCGTTCTCACTCATAGTTCGTTTAAGCATCTACACCCAACTTCAGACTAAGTTCATATCATTTCTATCCAAACAGAAGAATAATAGTCATCATATCATTGGCTGCAATATTAAGATCTACGCGTCAACCAGACACTCAGATATTAGAGGATCAGCGCGCAGATATGAGCCTAACCGCAGGTATATACTCCATATATCTGAAGGTCCATACGGCTGTGCTTGAGATGACAGAAAAAGCCAGAGCTTTTGTGCTGTTTCATGTGTCAGATAATGGATGAAGGCACACGATTTGGGTCTAGAGGATGGTTCGTTTCGGTTTGTTGGTGCTTCGCTTTCTTACACGGCTTTTCTAGTGGAGAGGATGGACTAGTTCTACCAGTTACAGAGCAAGTGAGTTTACATTCATGGAGGAATTAGGAGCCTTTGAAGTATGGTTGCTTATATTCGAGCCTCTCATTACAGACAGGCGCCCCTTGATCTACTGCGGAGTATCTATGAAAGAAGGCGTCGGAGAAGATATTAGTCGACATAGGCTATGTCGCAACTGGAAATGTTTCCTTCTAAAGAGAAAATGGGTTATTGAAAATATCTCGAACGGACGACCAACCAGCCATTCCCGCATTTTCTGGAAGGACTGTATCAGTCGCAATCAATATTCGAAAAACGGGTAATTTTCAACGACATTTACACCCAAAGTACTCGACTATATGGGTACCATAATGCTGGGCACGATCTGGGTTGGTGTTGCTATCTTCTAGCCCAGGTCTTATACACCCTTTCATCGGATCCCAGCAACAACAATCCCGCACTGCGAGAGAATGCCCGAGAGTTCTAGCAACACGCTGAACGTCCAAATGAGCTTACAAGGTAAACAAGGTAAACTGAAATAGATGACAATACCTTCTATCCTGCTGATTGTCGTTATATCTGACCACTTCCTATCTTAAGACTGAGGTTTGATGATTCATAACGTCTTATTAAGAACGTGTCTGGCCCCAGAACTGCTGCCGCCGAAGATTCATCGAATCCACCATCGGATACACATTTACTTGAATACTCCACTACGAAAACACCCTTGTTATCTATTTTTTCACAGCATCGCCGGGGAACTATATCACCGGCGCGGCAGATAACGCGCCGAGGGCATCTGGCCCAAATTCGTGGCCATGCGGTACAGAGTAATGAAATTCATTGGCCTTTTAAGACCTTGATATATCATTCTATATGCATTGCCTTGGCAATGTTGCAGTGCGCCCTGATGGGTATTGCGAACGATTTCCTCGAGTCTTCTCTGCTTGCTTTATCTACATTATCTTTTGATACCCTGAGGTAAGCATCGAGAAATTGCCTAGTACGGCAAGAAAACCACAATTCGTTCCAGATAAGGGATTCTGACTATGTTCCTTCTTTGAACTAGTGCCATAGTCAACCTGCTGCGACATAAGAGCGCCGGACATCTCTCCTCCTTTCCTCTAGGTTTCAGCTTTCAAAATCGCGAACAAGGATTTAGGAACTTATCGAGCTCCTTTATCGATAATTGCATAAGATACCTCTTTATAGTAACCCCAGGAGAAGGAACAAGTATACTCAACAAAGAGATTCGGAATATACTAGCCCTGAACGAACAGTCACAGGTACAGCAAAGAAGCCAATAGACGCATGCATTATGGATAATAGTCCTCTGGTAAACAACTCAAAGGAGCGCAACCAGAAACCGACAGCTCACTGTTGGTGCAAAACTCATAGCTGGAATATCAGCTATGAATCTAACAGCATTGCGGGTTATGCCCGCTTGTGGATTGGTCTCCAGCAATCAGGCCGTCAGCAGGGCAAATGCAGCAGAAAGAGTGGGTTAGTGCAAGCCATGACTACCGCGTCCTCGAGGCTTTCCAGATGGCTCTGAAGACAAATGAGCGACTCAACAGGCCATGTCTATGTTATGACTGTCCTGTCCTCATCACTGGAGCCAGTCCTTGATATCCGTGATCTTCTGAAGGAACACATAATTTAGGAAACAAGTTCCTATCATCAGGACAAGAGATTAACTGGGAGGAACTCTATGATTCTTCCAGTTCTGGAAAAGCGCACCATCTAGTGTGTGATTGGAGACGGTCTCTTCGCGTCAGGTTGGGATCGAATATGCTTTCATAGTAAAGACTGATATCAACGACGATCTCTTTTGTAAACCAGACAAACGATCATTGCTCTTCCGTAACAATGATGAGTATGTATGGTGCCTTGACGAATTCACACTCGTCGGGAACTTATTCTTGGGTGGAGTCAGTGGCAGGGACATGTTGTGCGAACCGCCTACTGCTACGATTACTAGGAAGAATCAACACCTCGGTCAACTCTACTGCTGTGTCATAAGGGTGGCCATATATCATTGGTTCCGACAACCAGGTCAGATTGTGCATGAAGCGGAAGGACCAACTGGCTAGCACCATTTTTGTGGTTTGCTACCATCTTCGCTCTATGAGCGGTCCAGGCTACCCAGTTAGCCTAGGCATTGTCGCGGACCATCGGATGTCGAAGTGCAACAAGAACCATTCCAGATGAATGGTTTCGAGACCATGAAGTCTCGATGTACTTCAGAGGCGCAATACCAAAATCCTCGTGGAAATATCCAGACCCCTTCAGATGACGTACAGGGGGGAAAGGAGCCCCACGAGCATGACTTATTGCCAAAGGCAAACGACTCGAGTAGGGAAGACGAATAAAAAGCGGGGCTGAAAAGGCTGTTAGAGAAACAGGATTGTTATTCAAAAGGAATCACCGTTATGAAGGAGCGCGCAGATGAAAGAAAGTTGTCTAAAACGCACTGGATTGGTAAACTCCAACGTGCCCGGCTGCAGTCATGACAGATTATCATTCGGCCATTGAAGTTGAAGAGCCCGAGTCAGAGATTACTGAGGATCCGAAGTCTGCGAATTGCGCAGAGAATGAATTTACACAAGCTCTTCCTCGATATCGCCTCTGGAAATCGCCTATGATGCAGCCAAAAAAGCATAATCTCTGTGGGGCCCGTCTCGACCAATTAATAATCATTACAGATTCTTTCACCGGCTGCGTTTACGATGGTCTTTTGCCTACTACATTCACACGAGTGAAGGGCTATCTGCAATGACTCAATTATGAGCTTTAAATCATTATAATGAGGTATCTTGATACATGCTTAGATGGGGTGGGAGGATTAAGAAGATACCGTGGACTGGCATTAAAGGATAAATGGTCTTGGTGATTGATATTAACCACTCTGTATCATGCTATCATAATGAAACCATCATAGTCGCATCGTCAGTATCATAGCTCATGGTAGACTCAAAGCTCGTAAACTATCTTGTACGCCGAGATCTTCCCATCTCTGTGCTCCTGGAATCCGTCCGCCACCGCGTCTAGCCCCTTGAGCAATTTCGGCGTATTAGGCTTCAGTGTGCCTTTCTCCAACCAGCCAGGCAACTTCTCAAACAATTCGCTAGTAAGCTCGTGGTCATCTTTCGACGCCTGGATATTACCAGAAGTCAGCTGTTTTCCACGCCTAATTCATCATGCGGGGCACATGATATGATAGGAGGGATGGGAATACGCACGGGCCACTTGAACTCTCCATAGCTGTGATCTTTGAGGAACGCCGTCCAAACCAACACATCCGTGACGCGCGTTCCTGGGACAACATTCTTCGTATTAGCCTTTCCGGGACGCACTGTGCAGAGATTCCCAAGTCCGGGATGAAGCGCGCGTGAAGCTGTAGCGGAGGAAGTCGCGTTGCCGATGGTATCAAAGACATGGCGTAGACCCGGCGCCAGTCCCCGGATCTGTTCAGCAACGTCCTTATCTTTGTAGTCAAATGCGTACTTGGCGCCAGACGCGCAGACCAGGTTGAAGTGCTTGGGGCTGCATGTTGTCACTACTTCGAAGCCGCAGAGAGAGGCGAGTTGGATGGTGTATAGGCCGACGCTTGCTAGACTAAGTCAGTACTGTACTCGGTTCAGTGTCATGGGGACTTACAGCTACCACCCCATACCAGGATCCTGGTACCCTTGGCTGGGTTACGATTGAGTGCAAGACAGCTTTTGGAGAATAGAGCTAGCCATGCTGTGGCTGCGGCTAGGGGGATGGTGCTCGCTTCTGCGCGCGAGACATTGCTGTTGGTAGGTAATTTGAATGAGATACGCTCGTCCGCGAGGCAGTATTGGCTGTATGCGCCTAGACCTTTGATCTCTCCTACATTGAGGAATGCGTCAATGTGATTTCCAAGTGAATGCGGTGACTACATACCTCCCCAGACTAAGCCAGCAATGATATCACCTTTGGCGAGTCTGGTAACCTGACTGCCTAGCTCAATGACCTCGCCGACAAAGTCGCATCCGAGAACTGCGCCGTCGCCAAACGCGTTACTATCGAAGGATTGCACTATAGTGTGTAAGTGGGGTTGGATGCAGGACAGGTAGGATGGGATTGGGTGGTGGACCAACCGTCGGTCGGGTTTTGTGCAGCATGCGACAGCTTGACTAGCACTTGATTCGAGGCTGGAGATGGCAGGGAGATCTCTTCTTTGGACAGCTTGGGTGGTTGGCCATCTGTCACGCGGACAACGAGCGCTGTGTTTGATGGGGTGGCCATTCTGGTAAGATGCTGGTCGGTATTCTATGTTATTTCGAGTGCCGACCGAGTGGAATGTTCTTGCCAGGTCAGTTCGAGGTCGTACTTGAAGGGTACTTTTGCACAATAGCTATTTAGAGGTATTTATAAAGGAACGCGAGAGACTTGGTGAATGGGCTAACAGGCAAGGTGATTGATAAGCGCGCTAAAAGCGAAGCACATGCGGGGAACGGGAATCCCCGCGTCAGGAGATCCCCGGCCGTTTCCCGAGATACACTTCCGAGTGTTCGCTTAGTTTTTATATCGGTAATATCCCACCTTTTACATTGGTAATTCCATTTTGCCATCCAGCTTCAGCCGCGCTTTTGCATCAGTGGCTGCAGATAGCTCAATACACACTCCTGCACTCCTAACGAGCTATGTGCTACTCCATCCACCACGTCTAACTGGGCCTCAATACCGTCTACCTGCCAGCTGCTCTGCAACTGCTGTAGCGACTGCGATCGTCCCTGGTCCATCATCACCACCTCCCGCTTTCCCATCTTCTCTTTGCCACTGTCCTTCTCGGATGCCTTTTCCATAGCCATTCGTTGGGCCATCACTTTCTTCGCCCACTCCGAGAACTCCTTTCCTCCATGGACCTTCACGTCTTCACTTCCAATGACAAGCTGAATCTGCACATTTCTCATCATATCCTTGTCTAGCCCTTTACCGAACACCTCCTGGAAATTAGCAATCCCACTCGGCCATGCCCGTTGCTCATCAAGCATTGTCACCTTTCCCGGCGCACCGACGCTCACGGCCGCTAATCGCTCCGGGTGCACGTAGAGAAACCGATGCGCAAATTGCCCTCCACCAGAAAACCCCGCTAAGAAGACCTTCTCTGTGTAAATGCCAGGCCATACAGTGGCCACCTCATCTAGAATTGCCAGAAGCGCAAGATCAGAGCGCAATGTCGCTGAACGCAGCACCTTGTATGAGTCGAGATCATTGGGCCCATCGATGTTCGCGGGGAAAAGCGGGGCAAGAATGGCACAGGGAGTGGATTCCGCAAAGGAGGCCTGCTCAGGTCGGATGGAGCTGTTGCGGCTGGTACCATGAATATTGACTAGCAAGGAAAGCTTGGGTTTGTCATAAGGGCTTTCTTGAGAGGCGCCGTTGGGGTCTGGATTGTAATGTGTGGGAGGGATGTAGAGAGTGTAGGACACGCGCGGTTCAGCTGCCAGAGTGCGCTGGGGGATGTGTCCGACGAGAAACGCCGACTTGAGGAATTGTGGCGGTACTTCGGGAGTGGTAAGAGGTATGTCCATGATTGCGCGACTCTGTTGCAAATATTCCCTCAGGTGTGGTCGGAATGCTACAAACTGAGGGTCCTGCGACACTAGTAGTATATAATCTGACGGTCGGAAAGAACGGGATGCCGATATGCCGATGACTTGAACTGTTGGGCCGTAAGCGCTAAGGACAACGTTCAATTATTTCCCAAAGGCGCGAACAGCAGATTGTAGCGTTATAGGTGTAAGATGGATAGGCAACCACTTGCAACCAGCAATAAACCTGTAGCCACGGCGTTCAACGTTGAGAGATTATTCCGGGCCGTAAGCCGCATGCCCGATCTTAAGTGGTTGCGGGGACATGCGGAGGGTAAGTGGATCCAACAGAAATTGGTACCAACAAAAGCGTTGAGAACATTCCTTTGTGGCTGATCTCACATCTCATCTCAGTGGGTGAGCAATCAAGTAAGATGAAGTTGCCTATCAACTGGATGCTGACGATAGCTATTCCTCACACCCCGTTGTCTTCATTAGTAAACAGCGCCCATAACTCTTTGTAAAGCTTGTGCCGCCCATACTTCCAGTATGTCGGTTCAGCTTGTAGGTTTCTGACAATATTATCCAAGTGTCAGCACACATCTGGGAAAATCATAGGGATGGACTTGCTGGCCATGGCATACGTTGAGAAGTCTTCAGTACCCCCGTTGCACAGCGCTTGCCGTGTAATAGGACTCCCTGGTCATGGCTTGTCTGAGCTGGCAATATGTGGTACTTTCATTGATCTCTGGGACTGTAGAACTTTAGTCAACGGAGGATAGTGGAATCCTTGGTCAGAGGAACTCAGTGACCGAAGTACCAAGACATGCATAGATGGAGATGATTATTGGTAACGGTGAGTTGATATTGGTAGGATTTGGGCAAAATCACCTGATCTGCAGCTGATCGAGTCACGAGGGCAACGATGCTTTGACATACTCCTTCCTCCATCACTTCACCCCTAACTCCGTCTACCCAGTCTTTGTCTTTTCATCGTTCGATGACAAGGTTCGATGCTTCAGGCCGCATGGTCATCCTACTACATAAACCCCAACCGCTGTCTTATCCGGGTCCGATGTTTGAACTGCGATGGCTCGAATATTTGGGCTATCACGAGAGGCTGTCTTTCATTCCACCAGAGTCGCTTCTCAAGGATGAGTTTGCAAATAAGAAGCCGTATAACTTACATAGGGGTGTGTCTTCCGATACACGATCAAATAATCGCTGGCCAGGGGCATGTCTCGAAGAAATAGTTGCAGCCTAAAGAATGAGCAGATGCAGTGCTGGTTGGAGACGCGCAGGCGTTCCTCTGGTTCCCCGCAACTTTCGGAGTGCATCGGAGGAAGATACTGGTTTCCGACTAGTGGTACGTCTCTTTCAAGACTGGTTATATTTCATCTTCTATATTGCCCCTTAACTGGACAGCTTGAGTGGACGACGAAGAGGATTCTAGCGTGATTAACAGCTAGCAGCATCTTCCGATCTCTTAGAGGAAGCGAAACACGCGCTACTCTGTCTTTCAACACTGCCTATGACAGGCCGAACTATCGTAGGTAGAACATGTCTTAGTTATTTTGGGTTCCACGGTTAACGAATGCTTGTGAGACATCAAGGACTGACTGATTTTATGGCTGAGACAAGCTTTAGCCAAGCTTTGGGACGGCTTTCGGCATCGCATCCGGAGTTCCAAGCTGGTCCGGATTATGATTCATGGAAAGCTGACAAGGGGGTGTACGAGGAGTCAAAACGAGGATAAATCAGGCATGGCTTTGCTCAGTTACACCCAATTGGTGTTAGGAGATCTTTGGCCCACTACGGTGAGTGATTACTTAGTACATCCCCCGGCTGCATATTCTTCCAGGGTCATCTCGCTAACGTTGTGACCGGATTCGGGCGGGAACTTCAGAACACCACAGAATCAGGGACATCTCCTGACCAGCTGATCCCGGGTGAGACATGGATAAACACTGAAGAATCATCGCCAATGAAGTCCGACGGCCAGACCCACCGTGGAAAAATGCAAGCCGTTCGGAATAGCGGCTGATTTCGGCATTAAATATTTCCCCAGGAAGCGGACAACTCAATTTCGGCGCCCCGTTGATCTACGCAGCACCGAGACGAACACACTGCTAGATAACATGGCGCAGGAGCTACATGCCATATCAGTCCATCTCCTACGCCGCTGTTTAGAATTAAATATTGATCACCGCTTTCTGATAACAAATGACGGGGACGCGCAATACCCCTGGGATGGCGCTGGTTAGTCTGTACTAGCGCTGGCACTAGCAAAGCTTGACCCAACAATGGCGCAGGAGAATCCTGCTGCCTAGCTCGGATTGGTCGCCCTTGGCAGGCGTGAAACAATTTCCCCGGCTTGAAGACCTGCCATTCGTGCAGATTCGATCCAATTTCTCTGACGTACGATCACCAGGGAAGACCACAACGAAGTGCAAAGTGTCACTGCGTAGCGGATATGGAGGGCTGCGAGCTCGCTTATGATTTACTGTGATGAGACCCCCTGGTGACCTGACCCAAATATGACCCGTCTCTACCATGGTATTGCCGCGCGCCACCAACATGTTATCTTCAGCGGGCCTCTCCAAGACATTTAGTGTACCCATAAAAGTGATACCACTCGTCATTGCCACTGTTCGCCAATACATTTTGGGTTAGCTGGTCCGTCCTACTCTTGAAATTTGTATGCGATTATCCAATTTCAATATGCTTAAGCGATATCTGCGGGCTTTCGGTCTGCTATCGTTTGGCTGTCGCCTTGTCCCACACGTTCCCCCTTTTGACCGGTCGGTTCGGGGAATCAATGGCATGCGGGATTTTCCCTCAATATAATGCTGAACCCGCCGTTCCTTTGCTACTGAAACTACGCTGTTGTTTCATCTTTTCACTGTACCCAGTGTATTCTCCCCGGCAGTCCTTTTTGGCAGTCTTCTGCCACACCCCTTGACTGCGGCATAGCATTCTCGTTCGGACCCAATATGCGCCACATTCCCGCATGGTTCGTGGCCTGTCTGGCTGCGGCCACCGCCTCGGCCTCTGCTCCGACTTGCAGCACCGACAGCAAGTGTCCGGAAGAATACCCGTGCTGCTACAGTGAGCACACCATGCCTCGTAATTCACGCATATCCTGACATATCATCTTCAAGGTGGACAATGTGGTGTAGGAACCTACTGCCTGGGAGGTTGCAACCCTCTTGAATCGTACTCGCTCGACAGCTGCACGCCCGAGCCTATCTGCAAGAACCAGACCTACTCATTCACAAGCATGGACAATGCAGTCCTGTACGACCACTACCTTGGCAACGCGTCCGAATACGATTGGGTGTACAGCGGCTACCCCAAGATCAAGAATGATAGTCTGTGGTTGACGATGCCCAACGGCACGACGGGCAGTCTGTACTCCCTCAACCATTACATCTGGTATGGCAAGGTGTCGGCCAAGATCAAGAGCAGCCGGACGCAAGGTGTCTTGACGGGTTTCATTCTGATGTCGGATGATTTTGATGAGATCGACCTTGAATGGGTTGGATACAATCTGTCGAGCGCGCAGACCAACTTTTACTTCCAGGGTGTAGAAAACTGTATGTTCGCAGCTTACCTTTGTCGTCTTTCAAACTGACAACTCCAGATACCAATGAGGTCAACGCCGCCGTGTCTACCGGCAACACCTTTGACGAATGGCACACCTACACCATCGACTGGAAGCCCGATGTGTTGGAATGGCTCATCGATGGCACCGTGATGCGCACACTGACCAAGAACTCCACCTACAACGCTACCTCGGGTATCTACATGTACCCGCAGACGCCGTCTCGGCTGGAGATGTCCATCTGGCCTGGTGGTTCGGAAGCCGAGGGACTGGGTACCATTGAATGGGCTGGTGGTCTGATCGACTGGGACAGCACGGATATCAAGGAGTACGGCTACTTCTACGCGCAGTACAAGGACATCACGGTCGAGTGCTACCCTGCCCCGGCTGGAACCATCGACAAGGGTGACACTTCCTACGTGTACACCAGCGACAGCGGTCTGTCAGACACCATCGAACTCTCCGGGAACAGCACCGTGCTCTACAACCTGCAGGATACTGGCCTGAACATGACTGCTGGCACCAAGATGTCAGACTCAGCAACAGCCTCTGGATCCAGCTCCGGAGCCAGTAGCACCGGCGGCAGTAGCAGTGGAGACAGCAGCACGAAGAAGAGTGCGGCATCTGGGTATCGCGAGCGCGTGATGGAGGGATCGGTCCTCGCGGCTGCCGGTGCCATGGTTGCGCTGAGTCTGTTCTAGATGAGTGGTATCGGTTTCAAGTGTGAACGTGGCACGCGAGATGCTTGATCATGATGTGGTATATATTTCTGCGGATCTACATTTCAAAGGTGTATGACTATAGTGTACTTAATTATAATATTGAGTGTAGATGTACATATAACACTCGCACTGAACATACAATTGTATTACAGCGGATTGATTCAATTTATACCATGGCAGCTATATGATACAAAAGCTCTCAGAGTCCTGTAATACACATCCACAAATCTACCCTTTGATACCTAAGACAGACACTGTCACATTCTCTGCCTACTCTCCCCACCCAGAACAAGACCGGTCTACAACTCAGCAGGTACCCCCGTACAAGCAAGACACAAGTTCCTGACAAGCCCAATCCCCAAAATAGCACACAGCAACATCCGCCAAGTTGACTCATCACCGCTCTCCATCCACGCTTCCTCAATCCCACAGAACCATTCAGCCATCCTCATCCCCATCTCCACCCGCATCATCACCACCACCAAAACCACAACAATAACAACAACACCACCACCAACCCACACTCCCCTCCTCCCCAACCCCCTCCCCACCCCTACCCCTATACCCCCCCTCTTCACCCTCCCAACCAACCACTCCTCAATAACACGAACAACAACCCCACTCCCCCCCAGCACAACCGGCACCCCACTCCCAGGATGCGTACTGGCCCCAACAAAAAACAACCCCTGGATACTCTCATGCTGAATCCTCGGTCTAAAACACAAGACATTGAGAAACGAATGCGAAAGACCGAGTATCGCCCCGCGATCAAGATTGTATTTGTCTTTCCAGGTTAGTGGGGTTTCGATCCTTTCGCATACGATGTGTGATTCGATGTCGTTGCCTGTGAGGTCGTGCAGGGTGGAGAGGATCAGGGCGCGGATGGTTTGCGTGGTGGTGTGCCAGTAGGCGGTTGTGTTGTGGGGGTTTAATGGGGATGTTGGTGATGTTGGTGATGAGGAGGAGGATGATGTTGGGGAGAGGAGGTGAGGGACTGGGACTAGGACGACGATGGCGTCTGTGTTTGGTGGTGAGGCTGAGCGGTCGATTTTACTTGGGATATGGAGGTAGAATGAGGGATGTTCGGGGATTTGGTGGTTTTTGAAGATAGCGTCGAAGCTGGATTTATATTCTGATGAAGGGGGGAGGAATATATTGTGGGATTGGAGGTTCGGGAGGGTGGTGTCTAGCCCCCAGTAGAAGGAGATGCTGCTGCATGAGGTGGGTTTGTTTTGGAGGGATTCGCTGTAGGTGGTTTTCGGGAGGAGGTTGTTGTATGCGTAGGTTAGGTCCGCGTTGATGATTACGATGTCTGCTGGGAGGAATTTGCCGCTGGAGAGATGCACCCCGGTTATGTGCTTGTGGTCGTCGCTGAGGGCAATGGAGGTTACGGGCGTGTTGAGGATGTATGCGGTGTTGTGACGGATGCTGATTTTGACGAGGGCGTCGAGGATCTACATATGGATTAGCTAAGATTATGTATAATGGAGTTGGTTTTAGGAAATTGGGGGGAGTACGGTTCTGAATCCACCAACAGGATACCATATCCCATCTGCCATTTCCGTATACTGCAACAAGGAATATGTTGCTGGAGCATCAAACGGGCTCATACCCAGATACATGCTGGCGAATGTGAATGCCTGGCGGAGTTTGTCGGAGTGAAAGTACCGGCTCGCACGGGTATATATACTTTCGAAGACGTGGAGACTGGGTAAGGCGAGGAGAAGGTCCCAGCGGACGAGACTCCAGATGGTTGCGAAGTTACGGTGCAAAATATGCTCACAGGATAAGGTATAATGTCGACCGGATTCAACCAGGAAGCGTAGGAATCCTTCGAATCCGTGCGGTCCTTCATAGGCTTCTATCTGCTCTTTCATCGACGGGATGTCGGTGGATAAGTCGATATGGTCGTGGTCCGGGAACCAGATGCGGTAGCTGGGGTCGCATTTGCGGAGCGTGATGCCCTCATCGGAGATGGAGGTGTCTAGGTCGTGGAAGATTTGGTGGAAGAAGGACGGCATGAGCAGGAGGGAAGGGCCTTGGTCGAAGCGCTACAGATGTTAGTATTGCCTTGGGATATATAGAGTGACGCACGTAGTCATTCTCTTGCATTATAGAACAACGTCCCCCGATATCTGCATTCTTCTCGACCACCGTCACTTTGTAGCCCTTTTTTGCGAGGCGTGCTGCGACGGCGATGCCGCCGGCACCGCCACCTGTTTGCTGAGTAGTTAGAGAAGGGTAGAGAAGATGACATGTGCTTCATACCGACTACTATGGCAGTGGGAGGCTCCATTGAGCAAGAGAAGGTGCTTTAGGAACTAAATAATGTTGTGTTATTTTCTAGCGTTTACGGCTGGGAGCCGATGTCATGGAGTAAGCCATGTGCGAGATATGGCGGAGCCATCTGGGTGTCATAAGCCTTATACTCAAGGAGTTTGGAGCAAGTGAGAGGATAATTAAAGAGGGGCCGGTATCCACGGTTCAGGTCGACAAGCAACAGGAACATTCAAACCCAAACCAACATAAAGACGTTTAGACTCTACAAGAACCGCATTTACTTCCGGCCAATCCGGGTATAACACACAGGAACAAGCTAATTAACTCCCAGCTCTTCCGCCTCCCAATCATAAGCTATCTTAAGTCTCTCGTCGCTCTCCAGTGGCTGGTCCAACCTCTCCGACAAAATTTCCAGCACAGCAGGTACATCCACCATCATATTATGCTGATCATCCACGGGATTTATCATCATTACCGCATATGGTTGATCCCGCATGCTTGCGGCCTCATAGAAAGCAAAATCCGGTCTTGACGTGGGCATAAATTCGATTAACAGTGTATCCTCGGCAGCCCAGAAATGATTATGCAGAGCACTTCCATGGGGACCAATCACGGCTTTCACGTTCTGATGAACGTAGCGCATCAGCGAGTCGGTGCTGGGGAAATCCTCGTGGTTGAAGATTTTAAGTTCTTCCCTTTCCCCTCTTTTATCAAGAAGTGATCGGATATCTGCCAGGAGAATATCCTCGTTAAGGACTTCTCGGCCAGCATTGAGGATCAACCCGTTCGACCGCGTCATGTATAAAATTATTTTCCGATTTGACTTCTCCACTGGCTGGAGACTATCAGGACTGAGGAGCGAAAGGGATCTCTGTGTCAGCCACGGGTGGATAAGCGGTGCACGACAGCTCCATATTAGCTGCGATGCGACAAAGTTCGTATCGCTATGCATCACCTGGTCTGCGGGATATCCAAGGTATGACCAGAACTCCTCGACGGACTTGTGTCCCTTGCGCCCGGTAGCTACGTACTGCGTCTGATGGTCCCGCGACTGAGCGACTGCCCGCATGCCACGGTCGAGAAAGTGCTGCATCGACCACGAGTCTGGAAAGTTTGCCAGCAGCACGCTGTCAAGGGTGGGCTCGTCGCTGCTAGGTACAACGTGAGAGGTTGTAGCGAGGCCGGACATGCACGCTTGCATTATCCACTTGTCAAAGGGCGTGGAGGTTGACAATGTGACATTTTCAAATACCTGCAACATAAGTATTTGTCTCTTGTGCAGGGATGTGTACACTTACATATATCTGACCGTGCTTTTCAGGATAACGCACTCGACCCTTCATCTCATAAGCTCGCTCCCACATCATCCACGTCGTGTTCCACCACCGTTCCGCATCTTGGGGACGGGTCGTAGCGAATATTGGCGGGCTTATGGTAAAGGCAGGGTAGACCAGCTCCTCAGCGGATACTACATTCGGTAGTGTCCGAGCCATACATGGTGCGTAGTAACCGGGGGCTGAGTCGGTGCATTCTGTCAGTCTGAGGGGACGAAATCGGTCGCTTTTAGAGCTCGATACAGTTATATGCTTCCCCGGGTTTAATCCAGGCGTGGCAACTCGAATGGTGTAGTCTCCGATGTGCTTAGTTTTGTAGAAGAGGAAGAGGAGCGAAAGAGATAGTACAAGCGACAATAGAATGCGCCGCATTGTGGTAGCAGCAGCTATTGAGGATTTCAGTGTACCTTCAATGATTTCCCAGGTATATTCAGTGGAGTTCGGTAGGCCGCTGCTGGATATCCACCTTGTTTCTGTTCATAACGGTTTACCCCAGTAGACCAACTCTGTATGCTGAGCCCCAGCGATGACGCAAAGCCGTGCTTGGCCACTGCAGATCTACCTGAAGACCAGGGTATCGTATTGATCGCTTCACCTTCCATTCACTATTGAGTTCTCCTCAGGCACTGCCCCTGTGCTCGATCCTCTGCCGAGCCCTTCCTGTCAGCTTACAGTTTGGCACGCCTGATGTGCGGCTCCTGCTTGGACACGGATTCGGCACCTCGGGGTTGGTTACGAGCCTGTGCTGACAACATCGGTGATACTATGCAGTAATCTGCAATGTCAGGGACGGAAACTACTTTTAGAGTCATGCCGACCAGGCCGGGAGTATAATGGTATGATGAAAGCTGAGTCAAGAGGGTAATCCAGTTGTGCTGACAAGGCCGGCCAATCATGATCGCTGTCTACCGCTAATGCATCAAAAAGGCTGGCATGAATTAGTGCAGATCTACTAATTTAGGTGATGATCTTCATGCTGCGGGAGAATGCCGAGTAACGCCAACCCACGTAAGATCTTCTGCTCCCAATTCAAAGCCACTCCTCCTGCTGATAGCCTTCGTCGTCCTGAATGATTCAATCTCGGCAAAACAAAAACAAATTCTAGTGTGTATCTGAAGACCCACTGCGGTCACCTGCTAGCACGGCTGACGAGGTTTTCCACTTGGTACGACCAAGCAACCGACTTCCGGTCTACAATCCTGGACATATACTTGGATGCCAGAATTAACAGCGGAAAGAGAACAGACGCAGCTGCAGTCCACGCCAGGATTATTACATGCCAGGCCGACTCATCCTGCTGCGTCTGCCAGAAATCCGTCCCCCACAGATAATGGCACACAGCCTGCAGGATGCGATTGCGGATGACCATGATGAATAAAGGATGAAACAGATATAGTGAGAAAGAAATCATCCCGAGAAATTGCGCTAGACGAGTCTCTAGTGGAATTCGCAGGAATCGAAGATGTCTGAGCGTTCCAACAACAAGGATCGCCCCAACAGCGTGCCATCCCCGGATGCGGATCTCGGGATCTACATAGAACGGTAGCTTGAGGGAGGATTGGAACGAGAAGTCAGGTGGAAAAGTGGAGTCTTGTGGGAGACACAAGAGGTAAATCCCGCTCACGAAGAGCAGTCCGGTGAGGATACGTGCACAGTTTGTGACAAGGGTGGTCGGTTTTCTCTTCTGCCCAGCCATCAATAAATCCCGGGACGCTTCACGCAGTATATCGAGTTCCGCAAACATGAGACCAGCAAGGAAGGCCGATAATATAGGTGAGCCGAACCACATTAATGCGGCACTCAGGCAGGTGATTGCCACCAGTCGTACCATAGGTCTGATGGATGCAAGGCCGAGTAGGACCAGATAAACCGCCAGTGAGCATTGGTACTCGTATGAGATTGTCCACAAGTGGAAATTATACCCTGTCACATAGAACGGTCCACTGAGTTGAAGAGTCGTCAGGAAGGTCATGGTAAGACAACTGAGATGAGGTTGCAGCGCTGACCAGGGCTGTGCTCCAGGACAGCCCTCCTGATCACCCGGCGTCCAGTCAATCAGACCCATGTAATAAGTCAAATGGGAGATGAGGCAAAGGATCAAAACGGGAATGTAAAGTCGGAAACCACGGCGAAAGACGGAAGATGTAAGTTTTCGATAGAACTGAGCCGGGGCATCATCACGGAGTCGTATGATGGAGGTCGACACGGCATAGCCTGAGATGACAAAGAAGAGAAGAACCATTGACTGCCCGGCAAACAGTAAGCGGAACGGAGGTAACTGAAAGAAGCGACGATTTTCAGCCGCGGGGACAGCCCAGAATGATCGATAGGGAGCTCTCATTTCTCCCACCGTGAAGTGGAACCAGGCGACAATAGCCGCAGCCATGCCGCGCAGGCCATCCAGCCAATTTTGTCGAGCTTTGGCCGAAGCTGCTGATGTCATACTTAGTATACGACGGGAATTGGGGGATACTCTTAGAGTAAGGAGGATCAGATGTGCTGTAATACTTTGGTCGAGTGGGGGGTTTAAGAAGCATGGCCGAGGTGCAGCCCCGACAACTCGGAGTTCCAGCAGGGCCGATCTCGCATTGAGTCGGCAAACAGATCCTCCCTATCGAGTAACAAAGCAGTGTGGTACCTAGCATATCCCGACATAGGGTCACAAGGTTGGTGACATTCTTCGTGATAGGACAGGTATGTGAAGATCCCGGAGATGATGCTCCGTAGTCCGACGGGGAGCCATCCGATACCAAATCCCGAAGCCACTAAACCCAGGCTGCATCATTCGACGCGACCAGCATGATCTATCTGCTACTGAGATAAGCACTAACCTATCAGCAGGGTCTGGATACGAGGTAAATAGTAGACACCCCCGCAGCTTATGCAGATCACAGATCTATCATCCTCGTCGTATATCGGTGTCCTCGGCACATCGTCAACGGGTTCTTGCGTAGCCAACCAGATTGCTCAAGATGCCTCTGTCCATGTTGCGACAGTCGCTTCTGATAGAAGTGATTCCTTTAGAGGAATATTAAATATCCAAATATATTACTATATTAATGTCGAACTAAGCAATGAGCCACTGACGTTGGAATCCGAAGGAGTTCGAAAAGATCCAAAGACGCACCTGCCGCTTTCATTGCTGATTTGCGCGTGATTGCCGAGGTAGATGATGCCCTTACCCAATCGCAGTTAATAATTGTTGTTGACCCAGTATCACGGTTGGCCACTGTAATGCCGGAAGTCAGAACTCGTACATCGATATCCAGTCTAGATGTGGGAAATCGTAGCTTCCACCGAGTTGGATGAAAATTGTTGACTTGACCTTGTTGACACATTCCGTAGCGCTTATGTGATAACCAGTGTACAGGTTCTGAAACACAAAATGCAAGTTCGCTACCTGCGGCCGCCTGAAGACCGCGTAGGTTGTCCCGGCATGGGCCGATCGTAGTTACATCACTGCCATATGCAGGGACTGCGCAACAAAACATCACGATCCTGCCAACACGAATGGATGGCAGAATGCATTGGCATCAGCACTAGGTTGGCACGCCATGAGCCGTCGAAGAACGGGTGCTGAGGCTCATGACTGTTCTAAACAACGTGGTTTGCATTGCCACCTGGACCATGGCCAAGGACCGACTCAAGTCACATATAATGCAACCAAGAGGGTAGGACAAGTTGTCGTATCACCCTGAGACAATATTCTTTCTTTGGTGGTTTTCAGTCTCGCTGTCCGGCCCGTTTTGTGCTATTGAAAGCCTCACATTTCTTCCATCATGTATTACATACCCAAGCCGTTGAAGCCACACAGTGGCATAGGCTCTAGTCAGCGATTGGTCTCCCTGGCCGAACGAACTCTCAATCTCCTTGGTTGTATTGTTGCGGCCGCGGTATACTTTTACGGCTTGATGTATCTTAAGCAACCCTTGACTTTTGACATGATAATCAGTATAATCCTGGCCGAGTACTGTCGATGGAGAAACAACAAGAGACGCAGAGATGCAGCTCTGCAGGAAGAGAACGGTAACCTTGGCCTTGCTGAGAAGGGCAAGTCCAGCGAGCAGAGGTTGGACTGCGTTGCTGCTATTGTTGGGTATAGGGAGGAGCCTACCCTGTGGAAACAGGCATTGGGGAGCTATTCGCAGGCCCAGAATTGCAGATTCCTTCTTGTATGTATCGACGGGGATACAGAAGAGGATCGGGAGATGGTTGAGGTCTTTCAAGATGTAAGTGATCATCCTCTGTCTGTGTAATAGTTTATTAACATTCGTTGGCCAGGTTTACCCGGAAAGGTCTGCATTGATGCACCTAGATATCCCTTTAGCAGAGATTGCCATGCAGATGGATCGAGCAAGGTCCTCCAAGACAACTGATGCTGAGATTATCGCACAATGTTGTTCTGTCGCCAGGGGAGCTCTTGAGAAGAGTGGTATCACTCTGGTCGGCGAGAAGGGGATCTCGAAACTGTGTGTTAGTCAGCCGCACATGCACAAAAAGGGAATCATGTTCACCTCCTTCATAATCTCCTTGGTGGTCTCAGATATCCTCGACATCGAATTCTTGTGGACATCCGATTCAGACTCAATTGTGATGCCCGATACATTAACGCGTACGATGGCAACATGTGCTGCAGATCCAGGAATTGGAGGTGCTAGCACGGCACTCACTATCCACAACAAAGATGAAACAGTTATCACACAGCTTGGAAACGCGGTCTACCTGAATGAATTGTACCTGGCACGTTCCTTTACTGGAGCTGTTGCTGCAAATGACTGCCAAAGTGGACCGTCTGCTGCCTTTCGGTTCTCTGCAGTCAGTGGGGAGTTGCTGGCTTGGTACAAGCAAAGTGTGTTCGGGCATTGGATGGTGAGGATATTCCACGCCATGATTTGAGCATAGACTAACCATATAGGTTGTTAACGAGGATCGACACTTGACCACACGACTCCTTCTGAAAGGTTGGAGAGTGGTTTTTGCATCCGACGTTATGACTGCCACTGAGTCGCCCACAACATTCAGGAGGTGGCTGTTGCAGCAGGTATGTGTCCAAACGAATGTGCCCCGCCCCAGTTGTAAGCATTATACTAATATACCCAGGTTCGCTGGGGCCGAGCGGTGCACGTCGAAAGTTTCCACAGACCGAGCGTGTACCTCATGCACTCTCCGATATTGTTCTTCGGCGCCCTGCGGCGCCAATTTGCCGCCTTCGTCGTGCCCCTAACTGTTATCCTGTACCTCTGTTCTGGGATGCTCCTAATTCGAGCCTTCTCATTCCAGGATTACACCCATCGCCTGGGGCTGACAATCTCCTACCTTGTGTTTCGTAATCCATACCGACCAACTATGAAGGAGTGGATGTGGAGTCTGCCCGCACATATGTTCTATCATGTGCCGTTGCCCGCCATTCAGGTATGGAGCTTTCTTACAGTGCTCCACGATTCATGGGGAACGACCATGAGAGCCAACAAGGAGGTGAGGCATTCCAAGCTGCGTCTTAAGATTTGGGAAGTCGGATTCTTTGTCTTTTGGATGGCCATCCTGGGGGGCGCCTCGGGGAGGTATGTTGCAACGTCGCTAATGCCAGGTTCGGCTGACGTGGTGGTATTTATCCTTGCGGGTATTGTGTCCGTGTTGATTGTGGGTGGGTGGTGGACGGTTGTCGCGAAGTGAGCCGAGCTGTTGGTTTTGCTGCATGAACGGGGTGGCCATGAAGACTTCCCTGAGCCGACATACCACGAGTGTAAATATGCTTAAGTATGATTTTTTTGACAAGTAGAGGATTCAAGCAATATCGAGAAAGAAATACCTCTAAAGGATGATAGATATGCCGTGCCAATGAAAAACTGAAGGTGTCATAGCAACAGAGAGGAAAGTTGAAAAAACGCGACGTCGGGAAAAACGATACATGTCTCCCAGTAACCTGATCAGCCTACTATACGAACAATACCATCGCTTCTCACCAGTATTGTGTCCTTCATTAGACTAGTTAGACTTGTAAGTAATTCACCCACGGTCGGTATCTGAACATGCATTCGCTGATGAAGGATTGTGCAATGATTCTTTGGAGTATATATTTCGTGATCGACCTAACAATGGCTCAACATAACATCTACTTCCTGTTCGCCAAAAGCTTCTTCTTTGTCCTGTCCGCACACGCCTTAGCATCAAAGATACCATTGACGCTAGGATGCTCCCGAGTAGCCTGCGCCCAACGGTTGAAGTTCTTCGCCTCTGTCAATCCCTCCCAGATGGCGGGATCGATCAGTCCAGCCTCCTTATCCGCGAACGCGTGCAGACGGATTAGGAACGATCCAAGCAGCACCTCCACCAAAGTCAATTTGTCACTACCACCGAAGAAAGGTCCGTGCTCCTTTCCCTCCAAGCCCTGGTAGAGGAGCGGCTCGATCTCCTTCTTGATAGCAGCTACGTATCCCTCAACGCCGGCCTTCCGGTCGGCTTCGGTAGCACCACGCAGGGCGGCGTTGTAGTGCGGCGCAGCTTTGCTGGAGTAGGTGTCGACGAAGAAGGCGATGCGGGCGCGCTGCAGAGCACCCTCGGGGGTGTTTGAAGGGGGCACGAGGTGGGAGGGGTATGCGTCGGCGAGGAATTGAGCGACGATGCCGGATTCGGTGATAACTTCACTATTGTAAGAGAGGGAGGGAACGAGACCGCGCTTTTATGGAGAACATGGGTTAGCTAATACTGGCAGGGGGTGGATATGAAGGTCGGACATACCGGGTTGACTTCCAGATACCATGGCTCGCGTGGGGTGTCCAAGTCAATGGTGACCTCTTCGAAGGGAAGACCAAGCTCCTGCAGAACAATGTGGGCGCGATGAGCCCAGGGGCAGGTGCGATTGGTGTAGAGGGTGATCTTGGGGGAAGACATGATGAATATGTGTATCGATTAAGGGAGTTAACAGCTGTCAAGTGGTGAAGACGAGAGGCGGGACCGGCGGGTATAAAAAGGCCGGCAGAAGCGGGGCATCGGCAGATGGAACCGGCGGGGAGGAAAACGTGGGAGGAAGAAAGCTTACACGTCCGACGGGATTATTAATGGCCTGCCCGCCGGGTGATTTCCCACCAGGATGGCATCACTTCGGGCCTATCAATTATTCACCGAGACCCTACGTCGCTACTCACGCAGAAAGTCCAAGAAATTCGTCATCAAAGACGTTATATTGCACAATCGGGGTATAACCTATCTATATTATACTTTTGACAGTTATATATATGATAACAAGATGTATTGCATGCGGGGTATATAATGTGCTCGTAGCCGCGTAATATGTAATAGAGAATTCTCGTAATATAATCCTGATGCTAAACAGGGAACGGCTGCGACTCGCGACGAAGTCGACTGGCCCGACGACCAGCATGTTTCTCGCGATCGGCGGCTAGCGTCTGGGCAAACTTGCTGCGACGACGAATTTCGGGGCCC